CCAGATTGTTGGGGGCAATATGCTGACTCTCTGTAAACCGCTTAGAGAGGGCTGAAAGCCCTATGAAGCGGTATATAAGTCTACTGCTATTGCTATTGAGTTGGCAGAGAATTATGCAAGCATAAATTACTCTGCTCTGAGTCCATTTTAGTGCCATCTTTAGCATCTTTAGTGCCAGCTTTAGCATCTTTAGCACCTTTAACAGAGAATAAATGAAGGATGGTACATGATATATTCTCTTAGTGGCGCTTCCCTTCCACAAGGTGAAAGAGGAAAACAACCACTGATCATTGTCTTTAATTGGTCTTAATTGGTTAGACAAATGTTACAACTAGCTAAAGGTTCAGATGATGATTAGCATTTTCAGCAATAAAGTATTTTTAATTAAGGAATATACATTTTCTAAGACATAATGCTATTGCATATTTAATAGAGTACAGTGTAACATCAGCATAACCTTTATATGCTCTAGGAAACCAAGAATTCATGTGATTCACTTTATTTCAATATTTATTGCAGTAATCTGGAACTTAATCTGCAGTATGTCCGAGGTATGCTTATATTTCAATGTACTTAGCAAGAAAACTTGATAATTGCATCCTGAGATGTTTACAGGTTATGATAGGTATGGTTTTCTGAAATTTGTTGTTTAGTTAGGTCTTCATTCTGATCCATGATAACCTGCTGCATGGCCTCTTCTTTTGCCTGTTATCAGAGGCCCCTGTAAAAAGGTTTGTTTGGTGACAGGAAACTTTTGGTATCTTGAGAATATTTCTTCAAGCTTTTACACCTGAAATCCATTTAGTTTTGCTAATACTTAGGTTACATGGAGTCTGTATGTAATGAAGGAAGCATCTATTGCAAAACAAAGCAAAGCAAAGGTCTATTAAATATGCTGTGCAAATAGTAGTAAGAAATAAAATATATTCTAAAATATAGTCTTAACATTTAAGACTTTTGTAGGCACTTGTCTATTGCACCATAAATGTTCACAGAATTCAGAGATATTGTGTGATGCAAATATCCTTGTTGAATTTATCGTTTCCTTTTAAAATGTAATTAGCAATAGTATGTTGAATGTGGACGCCAAACTACATTAATAATTCTTGACTGTTTCCCATGACATCGGTGGTAATGAGTGGCACAAGGTTTAAATTCCTTGTGAATGTCTGGAAATTAAATTTTATTTGTATTGATGTTATTTTAGTAATGTGGTGGTGCAGTGTTTAGAATGCAGTATTGCAGGCTAATTCTGCTAACTACCAGAGTTTGATTCTCACCAGGATCAAGTTTGACTGAGCCTCCAGCCTTCCAAGGTGGGTAAAATGGGGACCCAGATTGTTGGGGGCAACATGTGGATGCTGTAAACCACTGAGAGAGGGCTGTAAAGCACTGTGAAGCGGTATATAAGTCTAATGGTTATTGCTATTGCTATTATTCAGTGTTGCTGTTGTTAGGCCATTAAGTTCATATATGGAACTATGTAAAATTTGAGGTCAAGATATGTGCAAAGTTTCCTATGTATAATTTTCTGCTGCAAAGATTTCCTGCTGCAAAGGTTTGTCTCCAGCAGGAAGGGATCAAAGTATGTGAGATATTTGGGGGAGAGGGGAAAACAGATAAATGGATATCATTCAATTTCCACTTAAACTTGCGTAGTTCAGAATATATTCATATTTGGAGAAGCAAAACTTAATTGATTAAAAAAGATAAATAGATTAAAATATTTCTTATTTATTAGGCAGAATGTTTTTTAAAATTAATGTAATGTTTATAAAAATGTTAAGAAGCTCATATAAAATAATACTTCTTTGAAATGATGCTAGTTATAATTTGCCTAAATCATTTAAGATCACTGTGGTACTTTTTTCAGAAATACTGCTTTTTTCACAAGTAAATATGTACTAATTTTATTTATTTTTTCTAAGAAATTTATCATATTGGTTTAGATGCTTGAGTGTAAATGTATGGTATATAGCAGTAGTTCTCAACTTTTTCTTCAATATGGACCCCTTTAAATAACTTTTGTGGCCACAGACCATGGCCACGGTCCTCTAAGATTTAAGATTTAAAACATAACATTTCTTCAACCCTGTATATACCCCTGTGACAACATTGTGCCCTCCCAGAATTTGCCAACCACAAATTGAGAACCACTGCTATATAGTATACATATTATATGCTTGAAAAAATAATGTTAATATATATTTTGTGGTGAAGTCTATTCTGAATGAATAATACCTTGCTTGCTCAGAATATAGCCAAATTAACTTTTGTTCTGAAACATAAATAAAAATGTCAGCATAACTTGCTCTTTTTTTGGGTGGTGGTGGTAAAGAAAGATGTTAAGAGATATGAAAATCATAATGTTTTGGGACTACACCTCAGAGAATTCCATGTAAGCCTATAGTCATAATAGCAATAGCACTTAGACTTATGTGCTGTTTCATAGTGCTTTATAGCACTCCCAAGCCAGGGATCCCCAACCCCCAGTCCATGGACCAGCACCAATCCTCAACATGCCAGAAACCGGGCCACAAAAATAAGCAAAGCCCGATCTGTGGGATGCAGGCAGCATGTGAAACTGTGCCCCTTCTGGTCTGCGGAAACACCTATCTGGAATTGTTCCCTGGTGCCCAAAAGGTTGGGGGCTGCTGCTTTAAGCAGTTTACAGAGTCAGCATTTCGCCCCCAACAATCTGGGTTCTCATTTTACCGCCCTCTGAAGGATGGCAGTCTGAATCAACCATGAACCAGTCATGATCAAACTCCTGGGAGTGGGCAAAGTTAGCCTGCAATACTGCATTCTAACCACTAGGCTTCCCAGGTATTCCCATGGTATTCTGGGAATATCTGGAAAGCTTTAGTCATACATTCAGATGTTGTCAAATTGGAGAAAACCTCTCCAGATTTTAAAATATGTCCTAGAGTTCTGATTGACTCAAATTAAACTAGATAAGATGGCATATTGAGACATGACAAATGAACACAAGCTGTCAAGAGTTCCCCAATTTTATTGATCTTTGTGCAAGCTGGCAATTCTAGGAGTGATAGTATTCCATAATAATTTGAAGGAAACCAAATTACAGAAGTTCAAATATATTTGCTGAGATATTTGTGTTAAATTCAGTTAGGACTATATTAGTCAGAAATAACATCTTGAAGCAAACTTGGAAATACACTGACAACTAATGCAGATGTCTAATGGGAAGTACTCAGGAAGTTCATTTGAGGAGAAGGAACTCGAGATGTATACAGTCACTTTTCCTCTTCATGATCTCCTTGAGTTTTTAAAGCCCAGGCAGTAAAGAATTGAGGATGCAGATCAGGCAATTGACCATTCAGGTTGTTTGGGTGCTTTGGTTTTGGAGATTCATTCATTCATTCATTCATTCATTCATTCATTCATTCATTCATTCATTCATTCATTCATTCATTCATTCATTCATTCAATTTCTATAGCTGCCCAACTCAACTAAGTGACTCTGGATGGCTTACAGTTCTAAAATTATAAAACAAAACATTTGACAACAAAAACTCCACAAAACAAACAAACAAACAAACATAACATAACATTTGTGTAATAAGAAAAACTTTTATGTTAAAAATATGTCACATTAAAGTTCTACAATGAACTATATGTTGGATTAGTCAGGACAGATTTTCAAAGAGTGTTGGAGTACAACANTAACGGGAGCTCACTCCATTATGCAGCACTAGGGATTCGAACTGCTGACCTTTCTGATTGACAAGCTCAGCATGTTAGCCACTGAGCCGCATCCTCTGTATGCAACATTAAATGATAGTATTTCCCTACCCCACTTTAAAGAAATTAAGCACAGCTCCCCCTAATTTAGCCCTCTTTCTGAAATTGGTGCTAACGCTTAATGTTCACCTGAACTGACGGAATGACCATCTCCTCTTGTATTAGGGAAACTAGGTGAACCCACATCTCCTGCAAGAAGGCCATCTTCTCCATGTGGTTCCCATTCATCACCTGGAGACTGGGCATGTACAGGTTCGGAATCCGTCTGTGCATCTTGAAAATTGGAGTCATCTGTAGGTTCTGGGATGGATGCTTCATCATCATCAGAAACCAAGACAACACTTAGCTTTTCATTTTTTTCTTGCTCCAAGGCCAACTTTTGGACTTCGCGATTCCTCCTATCTATAGATAGAGAAACTTTGGACACCACAAGACCCTTGTGCATGCACAGGAAACTGTTCAAGGAATCATAAAATGGCAAGGCCCGTTGACCACTCACAGAAGAGTTATTTCCACCAACAATTGCCTTGTATCCTCGCCGAAGCTCCTTGGCACGTAAGCGACACTGCTTCATATCCCGGTCATAGCCAAACTCTCGCATCCTATCAGAGATCCATTCATACTGTGCCTCATTGCGAAAGTTGGTGGCCAGTGAGGCTTGGACTTCGTCATCCCCCCAGATCTCAATGAAGGTCCGTATTTCTTCATCAGGCCAATATGGATTACGATGGCGAATACTCTTCCTAGGAGCAAATGACTGGATGTTCATATTCTCCCCTGGCAGTTGCTGTTGATCACAAAAAAACGATTTAATCCCAACAGATGATGGACGTTTCGTTGATGTTAAGTATTTTGCCCGAAGATGGTTCAGTTCTTCCAAGTTATTCTGCAGACTTTTTAACAAATCATAGTCACCAGCCATTCTCTTCTTTACGACCTTGCTGTCAAAAGGGAAACCAAACATTATTCTACAAATACAGCAAATTTTACCAATTAATCCCGGGTTCCTTGTTTGGTAAGCCTGACTGTATAAGCATACTACTACTTTATATGTTTAATATGCTGCTTTCAAACAAATGCACACTCAGAAATTTGTTTAAAAAAACATATTTGCATCACATTTAATAGAAGAATCATTTTGTGCTCTATGGAGCTAGCTTCTAAGGTCTATTCATTACTTGAATCCAAAGAGAATTATACACATTAGAAATCTACAATTCAACAGTTGGGAGTAAATATGAATAACCCTGAAGCTGTTTCCTGAACGGAAAGTGAAAGACAGTAATGCAATTTGACTTTATTTATAAGAGAATTGTATTCATGTAGTATTTATTCTTGATATTGTATATAATTCAAAAGTTATTTTTAAATCAAGTAAGTTGATTATTCTTCTTCCAAGGCAATGTGCTTAGAACTGCCATTGCAATCACTGCAATTTTATCTTCATGTAAATATGTTTAAGTTCAGTTATTAGATTCAACACAAAACACCACCACATGATGATATCATCATCTTCACCCAGGCTTGCCTGCAGGCATTTAGATTTTAAAAGGACATTCATTGATGTAGATAATTAACAAGATAATAAACTCTGAAAAAACAACTGCCTTAAAACACTACAACTAATTAAAGACTGCATTTGAGGCTTGATATAATTTAAGTCAAACCACAAGTAATCCTACATTTTTAAAGTTTGAATTGGGCACTCACATTTTCCATTCATATATTAAAAAAAGAATTAGGCCTGTTGCATCAATAATATTTTGCTCTCTGCCTTTGGCATGACGGTGTCTATGTATGATTATGATAGATGATAGACAAATGGATAGTCAGACACATGCATACACAACCCCCCTGCTTTTGTTCAACTTTCTATAAACTGGTGCGCCCCAGTTATGCTCCCATTATCTAGTCAAAGGGACTATGTTGACTGGAGCTGACACAACCTTAAGCAAGCTAGTCTATAGTTATTCGAGTTCCCTTAGTAACCCCTGGTTACTTCCACTCCGGTTCCCACCAATCTAGATGGTAATTTCCTTAAGTAGAAGTTGGGAGGTTTGCAAATCGTGCATGGCAAAAATCTGAAAAGCAAAGGAACCAGGAAGCCAAATCTCTTCCTTGCAAAATCCTGCTTCTGAACGAGATGCAGAGGATGGCAGGCACTCTTGATAAAACCACCCAGCTCATAACCGTTAGTTGCCCAGGCTGGGTCCGTGATGACAAGCAGCCTCCTTTGAACCCCAGCACTGAAATCTGGGGTTCCTACGCGTGTTTTGAAAATATATTGTAGAAATGTCAACTCCGGGGTACATCCGCCCTCTTCCCAATCCCCTCCATTCCCAGCAAGTCCCCCCTGGTAATTCTCTCCCGCACTTTCAGAGCCAATCCTGGCTGCTCTCCTCTAAAAGCTACATCGCGTTCCCACGACCCTCCCGAACCTCCATCCCGGCTCTCTCTAAAGCTACTGCTACCTTTCCTTTGCAGTCGCACACTTACTTGCAAGTTCCCGGTTCGCTCGTTGGCAAGCAAGCCTGCTGCGATTGGACCCGCGGTAGGACAAGCACGTCACCGACCCAATCGGAGCCTCGTTGAAAAAGGCTGGACAAAAGCAGAGGAAGAAGGCGGGGCGCCAACACTCCATCTGGAAGGTTGGGGAGAGGCAAAAAGTCAAGGGGCTGACTGACAGGCGGGCTTTCGAATCAAAGGACGGAGAATGAGGAAGGGCGGGGAAGAAAGGCTAAAAAAAATGGGGGGGGGATTGTAAAAGATAAAACTTGGGAAAGAAAATAGGCAGGTCGAGCTCAGATGGTAGAAGAGTAAATCCCCTCTCGCTGCAAGCGGGTCTGCCGAGAGGGAGTGCTTTTAAGGCTTGCAAATGGTTATTGCAAAAAAAAAAAAAAAAAGGAAAAGGAAAATAAAGCGCAACAGAAGGCGGAGGTTCAAACAGATAACAGAAAGCTTCCCTCCTCTCCCTCCCTCTCTCTTTTTTACCTTGCAAAGTTAGG